GAAAGGGGTCGTTAGAGGGAATTGTTGGCCCGGCTGAATAGGGGAGGTCTTCTTTTCCCCTGTTAAGGGGCTGTGATGATAGCAGCAGGAAATCTACGCTATCGCTGCATTGCAGGTTTCCGAAAGCCTAAATCTGAGTCCCCCCCCCCCATTTAAGGTTGGTTTTTCTTTCTTAACATAGATGGCTTCCTTCACGCCCCTCTCAAACCACCTGTCTTCTTTGTCCAAAATGTGAACATTCTGGTCCTCAAAAGAATGTCCTTTGTCCATAAGGTGTAGATGTACCGCAGAGTCTTGTCCAGAGGAGGGCGCTCTTCTGTGTTGGGCCATGCCTCTGTGGAGAGGTTGTTTGGTTTCTCCAATATAAAGATCAGATCATTCCTCCCTGCATTGGTCTGCAGACACCACCCCACTCACATTAGGTCTGGGGTTTGGTCTTTAGGATGAACTAGTCTCTGTGTAAGGGTCTGATTGGTTTGAAATGTTCTGGGATTGTGTGTTTGGAGAAAATCCTATTGAGTTTTCAGAGACTCCAGCAGCATATGGGATGGAGATTTTTTTGGTTTAATCTTCTCACCGTTATATTCTGCTTATTGATGAGTTTCTGTTCTTTCTGCTTCTGTTTTAGTAGGACCCGCTGTTGCAAGGTTCTGATGACTGAGAGTTTGTGTTCCGGTGGGCGGTGTGAGTCAGAAAGAAGATACTGGTCTGTGTGAGTGGATTTCCTATAGACTTCCATGTTGAGGTTTCCATCTCCTTCCATGCTCACTAAACAGTCCAGAAAAGGTAGGTTGTTGTTGTTGTTGGCATCCTCTCTGGTGAACTGGATGCAAAGCTTCCACTTCTTTTAACCTTCTGACATTCGTCTGACGAATGTGTCATCCACGTATCTAAACCAGTGGCTTGGTGGGGTTCCATTGAAAGTGTCTAAAGCTCTCTTTTCCATTTTTTTCAATGTAAGGATTGGCTACAATTGGGGACACTGGAGATCCCATTGCGCAGCCATGCTTCTGTCTGTAAAAATTACCTCTGAACTTGAAATAGGTTGTGGAAAGACGAAGACCCAGTAGTGTGCAGATCTGGTCCAGAGAGAAATCAGTCCTGTTGTTTAGGTGACAGTCTTGTTGAAGATGTTTCCTGACTGTTTCCACTGCCTCTGTTATAGGTATGCAGGTGAAAAGAGAAGGATCATCAAACGATACCAGGGTTTCTTCTGGCGCCATCCTTAAATCTTTGACTTTAATGGCAAAGTCTTTGGAATTTCCTATGTGATGTGGTGTGTTTCCCACCAAGGGGGCTGAGATATTAGTAAGCTGTTAGCAATGTTGTATGTTACTGAGTTAATGCTGCTGACGATGGGTCTGAGTGGTGCTCCTTCCTGGTAAATGTTCATTAAAGCATGGAATGTCCTCCCCTGGATATAATCTAAAGTAAGCTTAAGTCTTATTCTAGTTGTTGAGGTAGTCTTTGATTTTCTTTTTGTAGGCTTTGGTTGGATCTTTTTTCAAAGATTCATACGTGTTGGTGTCACTCACTAGAGTGAGAATTTTGTCCTGGTAGTCAGAAGTGTTCAGGAGCACGGTGCATCTTCCTTTATCTGCCGGTAATATGGTGATGCTTTGGTCCTGGCTGAGGGATGCTATGGCTTTCATTTCCTGTGGTGTGAGATTGGAAGGAGGTGGTTTGGACAGGGTAGCTGTCACTTTCATCCTGAGTTGCTCTGCCTCTCTTTCAGCAAGGTCGTTGTTCCTCATGGCAGATTCAATGGCAATGATCAGCTCCATGATGAGCACTTCTTGTGGAAAAATGGCAAAATTAAGGTCTTTACTGAGAACATCCGTCCCTGGCTTTGTCAGCAGCCTGCTCGAAGTTTGCGGACCGTTCTAAAAAGGTCCAACATGTAAAATACAGTAAAATCCTGTCTCTACTTCGTTTGGACCATCTCACTTTTCTCTCTTTTGTTTCTGTGCAACAAATGTTAAATAATCCAGCAAACAGCCTTTTTCCATCTCATTGCTGCAGCTTCATTACTACGGCATGATGCTTCACTGCTAAATGACAGTCAGCAGCGTGCAGACACTG